CGATCCTTTCCCGCCCTCGCCGTTCCCCCCCCAGCCCCGTTTAAGATTTAGTTTTTTTTTGGGGGGGGGGGGGGGGGGATGGCTCCGGCGAAACAGGCGTTTGTCGGCAATGCTCACAGACGGAACGGGAAAGGCTCCAGAGCACGTGCTTTCGAAGGCGGTGTTGAAGAACAAAGACCAAGATGTGAGAGAGATTTTCGCCCGCCCGCCCACCCGCTTTATTTTCATTTATTTTCTCTTCTCCTTACGGTTTCCATTTTTATTTTTTCTCCTTTTTTTCTCTTTGTCCTTTTTTTTCTCTCTTTTTTTCTCTCTTTTTCTGTGCCAGATGGACTTGTCTCTGCTTGCGTTGTGAAGTACCAAGATTGAACCAAGGGAGTGTGCCTCTTTCTCTCCGGCCCATGATAGATAGTGACTGCTAATCTCAGTTGATACCCCGCATAGCGTGAAGAGGGAGCGGAGGATCCCAGAATATCTGTCGTTGATTTCTATTGACTTGCGGACCCCTCGGGGCCAGTTTATTTGAGTGTACCTTTTTAGGGTAAGTTAACCTGTGACCACGGGAATCGACCGCGTCGAGTGTTGGATCAGTACGGACATACGAAGGTACTGGGTAGAGAGAGATCGGAACGGTTTTTAATGTGAAGACAACAACAACAACAACCCGCCACGCCCGCCCACGGGCGTTGGTCCGTCAAGGCTGGTTTTGTGCCTTGTGCTGATGTGGGTTTCTGTACACTGTTGCTTCGGGCGTGACGTGGAAGGAAAGAGGAGCGCAGTCAGCATACATGTATGGAGCATGACTCCCGACTTGTTGACATTATAAGGTACAGCTTCTTTTCACAGGACCGTTCCTGAATAGGCTTACGCGGCGGAAGCTTGCGTGATCGTCACCACGAGCACCCCTCCTTGTTGAACGGTTCACCTCTCGCATGTCCCCACGCGCGCTTGCATCCATGCCCCTTCCAGCTGTCCCTCTCCTTGACCCTGGTCCGAGACGCCCTCGGTCGGCCCAAGTACTTCCTGTGCTCCCTTCTCCCCAACACTCCGGCGGCATCACCTCCCCTGTCTCCCCTCCCTGGACCACTTTCCGGCGGCGGCCTCCTCCCCGGCCCCGGCGGCGCTGCATCTGTTGGCGGTTCTTCCGATTGTGCTTCCGATGGTGCTGCTTCTTCGGGGCGTGCCTCCGGTGGCGGCGGCGGCGGCGTCATGGATGCTTCTTCTACAAGCGAATGCGGCGGCGGCGGTGCGTCTCTTCCTCCTCCTCCTCCTCCTCCTCCTCCTCCTCCTCCTCCTCCTCCTCCCGCCGCTGCCGCCCGTGGACCGGTGGGTTTAATACCCGACGCATCCGCCGCCGCGACTTCTTCTGCGGAGGGCGGAACTACAACAAGTGATGCTGCTGCTGCTGCTGCTGCTGCTGCTGCTGCTGCTGCTGCTGCTGCTGCTACTGCTGCTGCAAGTGCCGGTGACGCAAAGTCGAGTGTGTCCACAACGGGTTCAGACAGTGGCGTGAACCCCACCCTCACGCCGGCGGCGGCGGAGCCCGGGGGTATATCTGTATCTAGTGCGGATGACGATGATGCTGATGTTGCTTCCATGTCTACTGCTGCTGCTGCAGACGCTGCAGACGCTGAAAGCATTAACGGTTGCAGCTCCGGCTCGGACGGCGACGTGGGGTCCACGATGATGTCCAGCCGCGAAGTTGTCGAACTCGTCGAGGTGTTCGAAAGCAGCCGTGGTGGCGACAGCAGAGGCAAGGACGGCATGGCGGCCAAGCGGAGTTGAAAACGTCCACCGGCCACAACCAATACGCTTGGTTTTTGATGTGGCAAATATATTTGATGCGTAAGGGCTTATATTAGCCGGGTGACTTGATTTACGCGCGGAGTTGGAGTAGCAAAAAAGATGGCGAGAGTCCGCCGCGCCGTGACTCGCCACCTAGGCTGGGCGTGTCGTAATTTTGGGTTGGGTTTTTTAGGGCAACGAGAGGAGAGAGGAGACAAACGAACGAGTCGAATTCGTTTTGAGAGAGGGCAGGGCCGGCCATGATATGTACCCTTGCCCATCCCAACTCCGCCATCCGTGGTGTGTCTGTGGTTCATTGTTATTATTGTTACTGTTCTGATCGGGGGGCTCGTAACCTGCTTGGTCGTTGTAGCTGTCTATAATCGTGTGCAAACCGCTGTCGTCATCGCCGATGTTTCGGCGACTACCGATTTGTCGGCCGCTGTGGATCTTTACGGCCAACCAGGTTGTGGGGGGAGATTTCCACCCGCCCGCAAACACGTACCGGATTGATCGAAGTGGGTGGTCATAGTTTCTTTTGTGCCTATGCTTGTGACGACGCGGAAAACGGTTTAGGATTGCAGGAGGAGATGCAGGTATTTGAATGAATCGAAAATTTACTTGGGGTCTAGTGTTGTTTACTCAGTTGAAAAAGCAGATAATAGGTGGGGACCTGCACGTCACAGCAAGCAGTTATATAATATTTGTATTTACTTCGAGGTTCTTCATTTATTTCTGTTTTCATTTTCAAGCTACTGCAACTGAACTCAGAACGGAAGCGAGCGTTGCCTCGCACGGCTGATAGGTTTAAGTGTAGCCGATTGTATGGGCGTATTAGCGTATTAGCTGTCACTCTGTTGCGGTCTAATTACTTCATTCATTTGCCAACAGGCATCGAATCTATCTTGGGAATATTGGGAATACTCAAGTAAATCTCTTTCTTCGTCGCTTCTTCGGTGATAGTTCCTCTAAACCAAAAAAGTCCCGCCGGTCGATGAATCGAGTGTTAAATAACTCTATATATTGCGCTTTACCATGCCGCAGGTTCTACGAACCGCAAATCATGCACCGTCCACGAACCTGTTATATTTTGGGGTCGGAAACGAGACTGTGAACGGGACAGACTGTGTAGAAGACTGTGTAGAATTTAATCTACACAAGCTCAAATCAAGTGAATTAGCAATTTCCGAGTTTGGGCAGACGATTATATGGTCAGTACCTTTCTTTGTACAATCAATCAATCAATGTGCTTCGTGTGTGTGTTTTTTTATTATTATTAGCATCGACCGTGCTAACCGGCTGACCAATGACAAGACGTCAGTCTTAGTGCGGTTGAAAACACAGAACATTTCTTCTGCACCTTCCCAACATAACATATATGAGACACACAAGACAGCTACCAAACTGTTTTGTTGTGTTACCCACAGGGGAGATGTCCCTATATGCTGTCTGGGAAATCGTAGACATACAGGTACTTTCTGACGCTATGAATCCATTGCTAATCTGTCTCAGACTCTTTTCTATGATAGAGATGGATTCGTTCTGTCATATTAAAGAAAAAAAAAAAACACTTGGAGATGGATTCGTCGTGTCACACTAAGAAAAAAAAAAACACTTCTTCCATCTGCGATGAACTGGGACCCCGTGAGGGGGCAGCATGGGGGAGGCTAAACTATCCTTCGGATAACAGACAGAAACAACACCAACAGAGAAAACTGGACGCGTCTACCAAGGCTATTACCTTGTACAGTTAGGCTCTTTTCGAATGTATTCATTTGCATGCTCAAACGACTGTGAGAGGTCTTGAAATCGTCTCAGCTACCCAGAACTGCTGGTAGTTCTCGGAGGTTCGCAGTGTGGGCTGAGATCGGCCTTTTCGACCCGGTCGGGCAAGGGGTCCGCTATGCTACTGAAAACTCCACAGACGGAAAAAAAAGACTTTTGATCGACTGAGACCCAAGCTAGAGCTTGGGAAACACACACAGAAAGACTACCCATTCGAGATATATATACCCACAGTCGAACGGGATGTGGAGGAGTCTTTTCAGTGAGTGGAGGGAAACCGGCTGGGTACTGGACATATTTCGAGTCTTTTTAAGTCTAGACTATACACTGATGATTTATTTGCTCAACAACAACCCGCTCACACCCTTTGCGCGAACCGTACACATAATACATACATGCAAAGACACCACACAGAGAGACGACAGAGTGAGGGGGATGCACACACACACATACATAAATTTGCATCCGTAATTCCGTTACGTAATGGTTTTGCCTCCGGTCAGCCGTGATAAAGGCTCCTGCCGGTGTCGGTTGATTGATTGTTGTGTGCGTGCGAGGAACGAAAAGAAAACGACGCCCAGATGAAACAGGTTCTTTGTGATGATGAGGTCCTCGCTCTTTAAAATTGGGGAGGGGGGGGTTAAATCGTAGCATCACAGCCAGCTGTGACGATTTGAACAACTTTTTGACCCCTTGCCAGCTGCACACAATTTTCGCTGTCGATTTTAAGACGAGAGGGAGGGATGGATGCATGCATGCATGCGCGAAATACTGCTGTAGGCGGTTCTTGAAGTAGGTGAGGGGGCTGTTCGTGAAGAACCTTCCGCGCACATCGGATCGGTTGCCCCTGGAACTTACAGCATCGATCGCGGGGTGAACAAAGCAAACGAGACTACCTACACTACAAGTTAAACGCAGGAGGTATGTAGGGGTCTTACGTGCACAACAACAATGAAATCATCCTTCTCGAAGGAGACGAAGACCCCAGCTTAGTTAGGTCGTTGGCAATGATCAACGACCAGAGGTTGTTTGCAGTGTTGCCCCTAGCGTGCACTTATTATCCGTCACCCAACTAGGTAGGACGCAATTGGTACGGCAGTCGGTCGACACACGACCGACTGCTGACTCCAGAAAAATGAGAAAAATGGTGAGTTAGTTATTGATTATTATTAGCTTCCACTCTTCCATGTATATAAAATTGTATTTTACGCACGTGGGATCTTCATTCCAACAAGAAAAACATCTTGGGCTACCTACTCGGTACACGACCTATATAGAGTACAACAACACCAACGAACGACGACCAACAGAGAGACGTCACGCCGACACTGTACTACTGTACTACAGTACTTTCTAACCGCGGCACGGATCACCCGCCGTCCCCCGCCCC